CTCATGTGACCTAAAAGCAGCACTGAGTTTCATCCTGCTCTCTCCCAAACCACCATTCTGCATCCCCCACGGACAGTGGAGCACGGCAGCAGTCACCAGGGAAAGGGAACATGCCTGAAGTTGCCAGCTGTGAAACCTGTAAAGTTGGCAAGCCACTGTTTGTATGGAGATTGAGTGTGAGAAAGCAAGGTAGTGGTTGCAGAAAAAAAAACAAATATCTTAGCTGAGAACCCATACCAATTCAAATAGGAAAGGGGACATTACTGTTGATTTTTAGAAACTTACATGCTAATGTTAGAACTTTCAGCTCTGGCTGAAAAGGGCAAGAGATGAGGGAGCAAATCCCCTTGTGGGCTATTAGAGTTTGGTTAGGGGAGGAAGGGAGGAGCACACATCAGATAATTGTAGGAAGGAAAAGCACAGTAGAAGCATACAAGTGACCTGTAGTAAGGCTGTCTGCATGGCTGCTCTCAGGTTTTATTTTCCAGTTATTAGGTGTGATATGCTGGCAGGGGAAGGTTTTCCCTAGAGGGCCCCCTCTCACCACTTACAGAGCACTCACAAATCACACAGGCTCACGAAAGGCTTGGTGTGTTTCGTGTCTAAATGAAACTCAGCACAGGATGGGCCAGCAGCCCTGGGAAGGGTGATGGGAGATGACAACAGCTAAACAAGACACAGGTTTCTGTTGGGATACAATATTGAATGTTTTTTAATTCATTTCTGTTTAATTTTTTTCTCATTTTGTTGGTTTTTTTTATCATGTTTTTCTTTGGGTTTCTCTCTGTTTTACAGTTCTTTTGGGCTCTTCTTTTGAGGCTGTGTTTGATGCGTTGGCTTCCCATCCGCTGCTCGTAACCATCTCTGCTATGAGTTGTGAGTGAGCCATCACCATGCTTCTGGGTTTTCATTTTGGTTTGTGCTTTTGTTATATATGGAAGTCCAAATTACACCTGGTTTTCTTTTTTCCCTCATGATCTGTTTGTTTTTCAGCAGGATTGTGACAGCTACCTAAATGTGATGCCAAGGCCTAGAACACTTGGGATTCTCTCTGAGGGGCTGGCAGATATTTGGGTGGTGCCAGACTGATTTTGTAAATTCTGTGGTTTCAGAGACAAGGGAAGGGGAGTTTTCTTATCTTACTTTTCTGTCTCCAGCTTCTTCTAGTCATTTCTGACTCCCTGTGGACATAAAATATAGTGCAGTCATTAATGATTGTACAAAATGCTGCTGTTTAAATTAAAAAATCAAAATGCATATAAGAGGTGTGGGTTTTCTCCCCACAGAAGAGGTGGAGAGGCATCTCCTTCATGAACCTGTCTGAAGAAGCAGAAGGTTCCTAGAGGCCACAGGGATACTTTCTTTTAGTTCAGTTAAAGCTTTCTTTCACTTTTCCTTCTTACCACAGCCTTTCAACACAAGTCATTTCTATCCAAGATATATCTCCAAATGCTTTCCATGATCTGTGGCATCTCCTCTCTCATTACCACCTTCTCTTCAAACTGTGCTAAACTCTTTTTTTTTTTTTGTGTTCTTACTGCTGAAAGTCCTTTTCCTGATTCCAGGAGAAATGGGTTAATATCCTGGGTGACAGCAGGCCTGCCAGGGGCAAAGGTTGTGCATCTCATGAGGTGTCTGCACAGGCTTCCAGAAAGCTGGGGAGGAACCAATGGTCATGAGAGCGCCACAATCACAAGAAACAGCAGGAGGAAAGTACTGGCATCCAAATACAAGTTTTTAGGAAGGCAGCTGGAAACCAAGACATTCAAAATATCCAGTCCGGCAAAAGGAATATTTTTAATCTCTATGAATGAACATGGTGTGAGGAGCAGGGATTCACATTAATGAGAAAATATGAGTGCTCCTCAAATAAAAGGGGAGTGTGCAGGAAAGACAGACTTCATGTGAATCATGAGGGGGACACTGTTGGCACTTGCAATACAAATGATCCTGAGTGTGTAACCTGGAGAATGATGGGTGTATAAAAGCACAGTTTGGAAAACGCATCCGCTTCATACAGGATTTTGTTACCTACTTCAGTCTCTGTCTGTGAGGTGGTCTACATTGCTAATGCAGTGAAAGGAACACAGAGTATAGGTTTTGCTCTGTGGTGGTGATCTAACACATTGTCCCAAGCTGAAACTCATTTTAAACCAATTTCTTACACAATGCAGCACTGTGTAGTAAAGTACTTTAGCTTTGTAGTACACACAATCTCAGTGAAAGAAGAGAAATTATTTATTTCAACTTGCTAGCTTATTATATATTCATAATTTTGGGGATTCAAATCATACAATCTCAGTGAAAGAAGAGAAATGATTTATAACATTTTTGTAGTAACACTGATGTGTAAAAAAGAATCACATATGGTTTAAAATTGTATTTCAACTTGCTAGCTTATTATATATTCATAATTTTGGGGATTCAAATCACTTGGATTATATATGGCATCATAGTCTGAAGCTCCTAAGAGTTGCTATTTCAATTCTGTCTCAACTGTGGACTGGTCTGGACAAAATGGATGCTGTATCCAGGCTCTTTCCCACTGCAGGCCAGTGCAGTGGTGGGATGAAGTTTATTAACTGGAAGAAATGAAGTGTGTAAAGCTGGAAAATTAATGTTTATGAATTCAGAAGAAAAGTCAATAATAGTTGGGTCTGCAGCATGTGCTACAACAAATGCTCAGGGAAGAGTTGTTTGTTTAAATGGAAAACAAGGTATTTCTACAGCCTGGGAGATACTTGATTGCAGTGACAATTCCTTATGACTGGCAGGACAGGCAGATATGGTTAAAAGAGGTGCAACCTTTATGAGCAAAATACACTGTTACACACTTAGCATCTGCCTGTTTTGTTTAAAGGACTCTAAAGGTCCTGTCAGAGCAACTGCAAAGTTTTGCTCGGTTGCAGTACTCTCCCTTCCCTGAGGTCTCACGTGAGAGAGGAGTGGAGGAAAAACCCTCAGGGTTCAGGTGTGGGACTGCTGGGGAGCAGCAGGTCATGTTGGCTGTGGGACAGATGCAAGGGTAAAGGCCTGCACCAAAAGCTGGGCTTTGTTTTGCTTCTGGGAGAGGAGGGGTTTGCTGCCAATGCTTACAAACTGCCTGGCATTGGTTTCAGAACAGATCTAAATAAAGACTGCACAGATAGCCTGTCTGCCAGAAATAGTAAGTATTGATCTAAAACAATTTTTAGAGATGTTGCTGACATACTGAAGCCAGCACACTTGGTACTTGGTTCAGTACTTGCATGAACTGCAAAAATTGAATAATTTTTGTTGTGAAAACATTACAGGTTACATGTTAGAAATGTTCACAATATATCCTTATGGCTCATGGAAAGTATCCAAACACACTATCTTCCATTCATAATGGAAAAGAGGAGTATCTTCTTTCTTTTGAATGTGTAGAGCAAATTTATAGTGATGGCTATATTCCAGTGGCCAGTATTCTGCTTTTCAGGAACTCACATCGGTGAATTCTGTGGAATTCTGAAAAATATTTTGCAGTCGTTTGTCAGTGAGAATCCTGAATTGCATAGTTCTGAGAGCAATGAGGTACATGATCACAAATATAATATGTCTACTATTACCTGCTGCTAAATAAGTAACTTATAGCTCAGGCTGGTGTAGTGCAAGATTAAGTGCTGGATTAAGTGCATGGGATATGCATATGAGTTCTCTTTGGGGAGTATTTGATTGGCATGAAAGAGCTGTAGGGTAGACTTACATCTTTTTTTTTGCTTAGCATCATTATAACTTAAGAGCTGCATTGTACACTGTACAGGTGTGGGTATATTACATGGTGTTGGTGAACTTGTTAAAAAAATATTTGAAATTTTATTCTTTCTGAGAATATGGAAATTCAGAGCAACTTTCCTGTACCACAAAGGAAGCAATTGAATTGTACATATTTAGTGACAGAAGGGTGCCCTAGAATAAAAGTACAAAGTTTTAGGCCTAGTTCTGGAAGTACAGGCACAGCTGAAAGAACAAACCTGAATCCACTGACCTCTGTGGGACAAATTACTCAATTAACTTGTTATTAATATGCTTGATTTTCTGCTGGAGTAAGAACTTCGTTTTGAATATGTTTAGTTCTTTGCCCAAGCTTAGCCTTATGATGGAAGAAGTCTGGGCCTGAACCTGGTTTACCACAAGAATTTTGAAACCACTGCTGTTAAGTCTCGTTAACTCTGGTGCTTCTAGTTCAACTAAGATTATTTGGTAGATGTCATTATTTAAATGCAAGTTTTTTCAGAATGACATCTGCATTAAGTGAACTCACATGGTCCAGTGTTCTTGTGGAGGCAGCAGTAGAAAGAGTCGGAACAGTTGCTCAACCCCCAAAGCAGAGAAGGCCTCCAGATGGGACAAATAAGTCACAGGAGGACTGCCTTTCCACACCCATTATATCAAGCCTTTAATTCCCAAGGACATGAAAAAGAGAATCAGGGAAAGAGAAAATAAAGAAAGGATATACTGGGAAGAATCTGGAAGGAAGCAAGAACTCTGAAAGTCAAAGGTTCATAGTTTGTTGAAGTCTTACAGAAGATGCTTACAGCAGTGTCAGCAAACATTTGTGGTCATCTGTCAGAGTAGGTGATCCCCATTTCCATCCTGACCAGGTCATCTTCGGGCTCTGCTTAGCTCATGTTACTCATGACTCAGTTTTGCACTTCTTTACTAGCTTTTCCCTTGACCTGGAGTTTAAAAGGGAAAATCTGATCCTGGATAATGTTCTTATCTCTATGCCTGAACTATTACTGTTCTAACATAGCACTGTAACCACCTTGCCTTCTCTGTAGAGTGAGCTTTCCTAGATATGCACAATCAGAGAACGCTCTCTGTGTAGCTGCTAGAGCACAAGAAGGCTTTAAGAGCCTCCTATTCCTTGGGTGCATACAAAATAGCAATTTAGACAAGAAGGTCTCAGGAGTTGGCTGCACAGGGGATTCAGTCATGCACTCTCTTTCTGAGATATTTCCCTTGCCTCCCTCCAGCCTCGCAACGTTGCTGGTTTCCGAGGAACTGTCCGCTATGCCTCTGTGAATGCACACAAAAACAGGGTGAGTATTTTGGAGTTATAAGGAGTTACCAGTAAGATAATTCCCCCTTAGAAACCTGTTTTCAGGAGCAAAGGAGCAATAGGTGAGAGTTCTGGTTTGTTGTCTGTGGAAGTTAGTATATCAGATTTCCATTAGGTAGTTAAGGCTGTTGACTGTAAAATCAAAGTTATGCTTCACTTATTGGGTTCTCTGTAGTTGGCAGACTTTAAAATTTTAATTATTTCATTACCAGACACTATTTAAGGGCAAAAGTAAGCCACACTGAAGAGGAAATCTGGTTAAGTTCCAGGCTGCTTGCTGGTAGTTTCTAGCAGAACTTGGCCAGAAATTACCAAGTGCCAGGTCCCCAAATCCATTCTTGATCTGTAATTTTAATATTAACATTGTGCCATGAGGAGAAGAACCACCTGGTGAAAGCTAGGGGTTTTTTTCCCGAAAATAACCATTATTTACATAGTATCTGCCCTGTTTCATTATAAATGCTTCTAGAAGGTTCATCTAACATTGTTCTCAAAACACTCCTCTCTCCTATTTCAGTAGTGTTCCTTTGCAGACAATAAACAGTAAGTTTGGACAATACTCTCAGGCACAGGGTGTGATTTTTGGGGTGTCCTGCACAGGGCCAGGAGTTGGACTGAATGGTCCTGGTGGGTCATTTCCAACTCAGCATCTTCTGTGGTTCTAGGTCCTGCATTTCTGCTGCTAAGTGTCTGCCAGATGGAAACTGTCAGCCCTCCTGCATTACCTCCAGGTTTCTGGCATTGCTTGGAATGAGATTGTAGGATTATCTGTGACATACAAAGAAATGGCAGGTTTTTTTAGGGAAGGAGCAAGTTATTGTCTGCAAAAGGTGGAAAGTGTGATGTGGGGAGGGCAGCTGAATGCCATCATGAATTCTTTCTCTTGAGAGACACAGAGAAACCTGAGGTATAATTTTTGCAAGAGCTGAGTAGGCCCAGCTGTAGCTGGCATCAGCTGAATGTATATTTAGACACAAAAATTGCTGTATAATGCAGGCTATTTTGAGAAATCATATCCTAGACACTGGAAGTTGAGCAGCAAAAATGAGTTCATGTGCTTTGATAATTTCAGCCTTTATCCCCATGTTTCCATTTCCCATTCACTAACCCAGGAGGAGATTTGTATGTAGAAATGTTATAAATCTGTAAATTGTTGTGGTGCATGATGGTGAGTCTTTTGCAAAAACTCTTGAGCAGATTTGAATTATATTTAGTCTTAAAAATAATAATAAAAAATGTGTTGTATCTGCAGTTGGGGGTTTTTCTTAATCTAGGCTATTGCATGTCCCATTAGTAAATATGTATCTTTAGCCTTTAATTTGGCTTTTTTTAACCAAAAACTGGGAAGTATGACTTCTCTTCCTGCCCTTTAAAATGAGGTAGCTCATCAGGAGAGTACACCTGGACCCCTCATGCATGGGGAACTTTGCTCCTCAGTCTTGGTCTCTCTTTTCTCCAGGAGATGGGCAGACACGACGATCTGTGGTCCCTCTTTTACATGTTGGTGGAGTTTGCCGTTGGTCAGCTTCCGTGGAGAAAGATCAAAGATAAGGTAGAAAAACTGGTGTCTGTGCTTAAGAGAGCGGGCTACATTTTAATTATTATGACTCTTTATTATTCCTCCTGCAGCTCAGTGCAGCTTTTTTTCTGGAGTCAAGCCAGAATCTCCTTTTCATCAGGTCTTGCTGTAAGATGCTAACCTGGTTTTGCGTGTTCTGATACACAGGGTGGCTTCTCTTATTTTGAGTAATCAGACTTTTTTAATGCATATTGCTAATCATGTTTGATCAAGTGTTTTTTACTTTTTTCTTGCAAAGTAAACAATACAAATGCAAAGACTGAGCTATCCTTTTGACAAATAAAATGAGCCTTTAGAAAGACAGGAGGGTAACACCTTGCTGTACCAAACAAGCCAAATGGGATTTGAAATTAGAAAGTTAAACGTAATAAAGCTAAATGTTCATGTTGTCTTGGAAATACTTTGTGCTAAAGAATAAAATCCCTGGAAAGAAGTAGGTCACCTGTGCAACAAGCTTCTGACTCAAGATTCCCCTTTGACCTCTGCCTGCAGTGCTCAACCTCCTTGTGCCTTGAACAGCAAACAGGAGAAGTGTGTAGACAATGTGCTGGGTCTAGGAAGAGTGAGTCTGTGTTCCAGGAATCATAAGTATTTATAAATGGGAAGCAGTGGAAGAGATTCTTGGCTCTGAAATTTTTTTTTGGTTTGTATTGGTTTTTTTTCAGGAGCAGGTTGGCATGATAAAAGAAAAGTATGAACACCGAATGCTGCTAAAACACATGCCTTCAGAGTTCCACCTTTTCCTGGATCACATTGCAAGCCTAGACTACTTCACCAAGCCAGACTATCAGGTGGGAGCCTATCTTTGTTACCCAGTGTGATGCATGGCACTATGGATTGACATTTAGATTTTTTAACATTTCCATGAATGTGTTTATATCTGTTTGAGTATTGATGAGGGAGAGAGATGGGGAAGATTGATTGGTGATCAGAATCCAAATTTGTTGTGGACTACATGTGTTTATATACTGTTCTAGGAAGGCTAGTAATTTTTTACTACAATGATTGGGTTAATCATCACAGAACAAACTTATACATTTTGCAACATCTCTTGCTTGTAGAAGTTGATTCAATCTTCTTTGCTGACAGCCAGTCTTAATTCAATCTTCAAAGCTCTGTTATTGACAAGGCATCCTGGTTATCAGATCTCTTGTGTTAATCAGGTCTAAAGTACTCTGTCTTGTGTGCCCAATAGCTGACGAATACCTTTCCTAGAACCAGGAAAAAGAGGCTGGACTGTACAGTTCTTCAAAACCTCAAAACTTCCTTCATCTCCTTCCATCACCCTGTCCAAAATAATCCTGAACTCCATACCAGATAGTCCCTCCCAAACAACACAGTACTTTTGGCTTTCATTAAGACACAAAAATTTTGAGGTACTCCAAATGTGGCAGAATTTTGGCACATCATGCCAAGATCTAAGAGCCTACACTGACATCTCAGTGGTGTACACCAACCCCTTTGATTTCTTGCAGACTTATATAGGCCTTGACCATTATTATCTCTTTCTTTAATACTCATCTAACATAGGGTTTTTCTTCCCATTCAGTGTTTGCTGTCAGCCTGTATGTGAGTAAGTCAGACTAACACAACAGAACTGAAGTAACTTGATTCTCTGTTGCTTTTTTTTTTTTTCTCTGTTGCTTTTGGTTTTCTCTGTACATTAAAGACAGTGATGGAAACAACATTTTATAAGCAGATCTGTGCAGTCTTATCTGAGTGCCTGGTCCCGTTGATAGTGCATCAGATGAGTGGGAAAGTGGTAGGAGGGTGTTCCAACAAACTCTCTCCAGCAGTGCCTTTGTGGTTTAGCCATGTACATGTTGTAACATAGCAACCACACATTTTTTAAAAATTAAAAGGAATAGGCAAATACTTTCTAGATAGTGCAGTGGAAAAATAATATTTGCCACTAAGAGGGAGAGCTACAGAGGGATGGAAGTGGACTGATGAGATGCAGAGGGAGCTGGATTTGTTTGTCCTGGAGAAGTCAAAGAGGGGATCTGATTGATTTTTCACTGCCTCAAGGACAGTTGTGGGGAGAATAAAGGCAGCAAGGGAAATTATGACTAAATCCCGCAATGGGTGGAAAATTCAGAGTGTAGGTTCTTATATACGAAACAGGTACTTAGAAAAGCTGTGGAATTTCCATCCTTGGGGATTTCCAAAGATTGGCTGAATGACAAATATGATCTGCCTTTTAATTAGCTCTGTTTTGAGCAGATGGCTGGATTAGAGATTGCCAAAGCTGCTTTTGAACCTACATGCTCCTATATTCTATTCCAGCTTAAAATAATTGTGTCCTAATGGTACCAAAATGCCATCCTTGAGACTGAAATGGAGGGAGATATTTCCAGACAGAATTCAGGCAGTACTAATCACAAACAGCTCTTTCACAGTAGGGCATTTGACTGAAGCTGTGAATTGCCCTTTTGCCTTCAGTTTCTTGCAGGTGCAGCTTGGGCAAAAAGCCTCCAAAAGGGAACTCCCCACAAAAGTCTGGCATTTGCAGCTTGACACCTAACACTGACTCTTCTAGCTTGACTTGGGAGACCTGTTCCAGGCAGCAAATTCTCCAAGCATCTCAGCTTCAGAGATGTCTTTATCTTGATTTATCTGGCTGTATTACTCTGAAATATTAAAAACTATACCAAAGGCCATTTGAATTTGTCACCAGTATCAGACCCACAGAGAAATAAAGGAAATTGGGAAAGTGTGTTTACAAATATATAAAGTCATGGCTTATTTAAAAATCTGAATTGAATTTGAAGTTTCAGATTCTCCTAAGCACGTCATGCTGAGTGGCAGTTTTATTACAGCTGTGGGTACTGGGATGATGTCTCCAAGCGACACATACCAGGCTGTAACAGGACACTAAGTGTGACCAGAGATCACTACTCCCTGATGGACAGATGACACAAGTGTGCCTAAGTAGGGGAAAGGAAAATGATGGTAGAATAAAACAGACTTGAGCTGTCAGGTGGTGGATCTTATATCCTGTGTTTTAATACTCCTTGGGCTCATGTCCTCAGGTGTCAGGTCTGTCCCTTTAATGGATCGCTGTCAGTGTTGGTTCATGGTTAGGATCAATCTTTCAGCACTTTCACAGCAGGAGGATGTGGTTGTTAGAGCAGCATTTTGGGGGTTTCTGACTCATTTGACAGCAAGAAGCATGCCTCTTCCCTAGAAAAGTGCAGATAGGATGTAGTAGAAAATATTTTGTACTACACTTGCATACAGTCCAGCTGGCAGAAGAGTATTTTCAGGTGTGGCTGGGGAAGTGGCTGGCTTCTATCCCCAAAGATCTTTTTGCAATGAGTATCAGAAAAGTAATAGTGACCTTTGCTCCTGGAAGATTGTAGAACTTTAAAGTGCAAAGGCAAGTGCCTTTGCCTGGGAATCCATCCTATTCCCTCAGCTAGGGCATTGTGAATTGCATTTCACTCAAGGAAAAATGATCACATCAATTGTTGTATGAGACAATGGCTGTCCCGTGCACATCCTGAGCAGGTGTGGAAAGGTGAGTTTCCTATATGGACATCTTCCTTTAGATTCAGTCAATACCAGATATTGTCAGAGAAATTGGGAGAGACTCCCTGTGAACAACCAGTGCTGGTCTGAGTTCTCTCATGCTGACCAAGTGTGGTGGTTTAGCTCCGGCTGGCAGCTGTGTACCAGGCAGCTGCTCACTCACTGTACCCCCTGCACAGTGGGATGGGGAGGAGAATCAGGAAAAAAAAACAAAAAAAAACAAAAAAAAACCAACATAAAAATATAAGAAAATCAAGTGATACAAAATACAATTGCCTGATGCCCAACCAGTCCCCAGGCAGTAAATGGTCCATTCCAGCCAACTTCCCCAGTTTATATACTGGGCATGACATTCTGTGGTATGGAATATCCCTTTGGCCAGATGGGTCACAGCTGTCCCGACTGTGCTCCCTCTCAGCTTCTTGTGCAGTTCTCCACCAGCAGAGCATGGGACACTGAAAAGTCTTTGAATGAGGGTAGGAACAACTGAGCAACAGCCAAAACATCAGTGTGTTATCAACACTGTTCTCATCATAAATGCAAAATACAGCACTGCACCAGCTATGGGAATAAAATGAACTCTATTCCAGTTGAAAACAGGACAGCAAGTTACTAGATATCTTCCATCGTAGTCCTATTATTTTCCCCCTAGAAATTCTTGCAGGACTTGCAAACACAAATCAGGAGCATTCTCTTATCAAAAGGGGACCCCTGCCAATAAAGAGGCGTGCCTGATATTTATTCTTAAATACTGTGTTGTAGATTGCAGTGTAGATTAGAAACTTGATCAAGAGCAATTTGCTATGTCCAGTGTTTCTGCTGAAAGATTCCATCTTCCTAGATAAACTCCAAAGAATTCAAGGCTTGAGCGCCTGGACAATCCATAACTCTTTAGGTACCTTTTATATGTGATATTTCAGGATTGATTGTGATTCCTTTCCTGAGCCTTGGCCAGGAGAAGGCATTTGACAAGATGTATCATGACAGCTTAGTGCATAATTTGTGCCCCATTGGCTGCTTCTCTCTCATTCTCTGGGCCATCAGCCCAAAATATGGCATGCTACTACATAATGTGTAATTAAGCTTTATGTCCTCATGGACAGTAACATCTTTAATAGAGAAACCTACTGGAGCTCTTCTTTATCCCACTAGTGGTTTTGATACTCAGACTTGGAATTGCACATTCTCTTGTCCAGCAGAAGGACACTCAAAATGGGAGGCTTGCAGTGACTGTGGAAACTCTTCTGATTCTTAATATTCTCTCTGTAGGCACAGAATCCCTAGACAGGATCCAGTGACTTTTTGCATGGCTTTCTAGGAGCGGTGGTTGTTGCTGGGACTGTTCTACGCAGTTTTCCACTCCACTTCTCTCCTTGTAAAGCTCTGACCTTTCATCAGAAGTATAAAGGTTTCAGAGAAAGCTGAGAAGACTCAGTAAGTCCATTAAATAGCTTTAGAGTAATGGCAGGTGAAGACACTTGTATCCTTCAGCCATGGAAAAAGATCCTACTGGGAGTACAGTAAAGGGCTGTAAAATCCCTAATGGCCTGCAAAGTCAAGTGCAAGAGTTACAGAATAAGTTACAGCAGAAAGTAACAAAAGATTGTTTCAACTGAGTGAGTCCTTAAAGGAATGCTAAGAATAAGGCAGCTGAACATCTAATTTTGTCATGTGGTTTCTTACTTCAGACTGCTTCAGTGTCAAAGGAATAGAAGGTGGCAGAAGCAGTACCAATTTTTAAATAGCTTCACAAGATACCACTCCCTGATACTGACATGTCCATCACAAAGAATCAAAAGCTGTGATAAGACTGGCATTAGTGGACAGATGGGTGAAGATGATCTAATGAACAGAAGCCAGTATGGCTTTTATAGAGGCATCTGTCTGCAAATGTGTGGAGCTCTTGCAAGGCATGTGAGTTTTTGAGGATATTAATTTCTAAAAGATACTTGACAGTAATCATTTCCAAAGTAGCAGTCAGAAAACGAATACAATCCTAAGAATTTCCTGTGCCTTGGTCTGACTGAGAGCCAGCTCTGGAAATTCTGTTAATCAAATGTAGCATTACCACAGGAGTGTGCACCTGATTCTAGGGTTCTGGGTCACAGAAAGGAGAAAAAAGTTGTCTCATCTGAAAGCTGCAAATAGGCATTTTTCTGCAGTTTGGTGGAAGGTAGTAGGAAATGGCAGGCTTTCCTGTCTTTCTGATCATGCTGATAAACAGAACTGGAATATAGTTGCAAATAGGATGTTTGCTCATGCTAAATTTTATTCATAACTTAGTGTTGATTCTACACCATAAGCTGAATGTTTTTGCCATCACATTGTCTCTTGCTATAGAGGGAAACTGACTGGCTGAATCCTGTCAGTTCTGCATTATTTAGCTAAATAATTTTATTAGAAATGTAGGACCTCGCAGCTCTGTTAGCCTACAGCGTCCAGTTTCCTTTTGACAGCAGAACATCAGATTTCTCTGCTAATGCATTGGTGCATGGAGAACTGTCGACAGTAGTTTCATTCTCTCCTAGAGGATACCAGTTCTTAAAAAGGAACAAGCATAGAGCACATCAGCCATGAGCATTTGTACCTGCCATCTTATAAAGAAAATTGTATCATCCTTTTTCAAGTTTTGTTTTCTTAGGCAGCCAAGTGTGTCAGGCCACATCGTGCACATTAAACACAACGTAGGGCTCCTAACTAAGCCATATTTGAGCCAGACACTGCAATGAGTCTGCATCTTAGGACTGCCTTTTCCTGTTCTGTTTATGTCTTCTGGCAGCCCTTGAACTCTGCATATCAAATGTACTGTTCTGCATAATGTACTGTCTAATCTTGAGGAAAGCTGAATTGAAGTTATGGATTTAGAATTGGAATAACAAGCTAACGGCAAGATTTCATTGAATCAATGTCAAAATGCTGCATGCATTTCTTTTGTAGCTTTGAAGAAATGTTACTTATGAAGCCAAAACCAACCTGAGAAACAACTGTTGCAATTTCATAAGTTTTTCCTTGATTTTTTTAGTACTTTTTATAGGCAAACTGGAGATTATAAGATGCACTTGGTCCTCATGCACATACTTCAGATTTTTGGTGAGAGCCACTCTCACCTACTTACCAGAAATTGTTCTTGTAAATCTATTGCAGCTAATCATGTCGGTTTTCGAGAACAGCATGAAAGAAAGGGGCATCACTGAAAATGAAGCCTTTGACTGGGAGAAGGCTGGTACAGATATCTTGTTGTCCACTAGCACCTCAACTCCACCACAGCAGAACACCAGGCAAACAGCAGCCATGTTTGGGTGAGTGTTGTAGTTGTACCAGTCAGACAGTAGACAACAAGCTCAGTTCTTTTTTTAAAAGATTTTAAGGCCATTATTATTCTGGGAAGCTGGAACAGCATGGAAGACACCACTTGATCTGACTTTTTTTATATTAATTTATTTTGGTGGTGGTGGATAGTGAGCTGAGTACAGCATGCGCTGCTCACAATTCCAACACAGCTCCTCAGCCTGTTTACAATGTGTTTCATGTGCTGCTGCAAAGGTACACAGAGACTGATGCTCAGGTACAGATGAGTCCAAACAGAAAAGGTTTGATAAGGCCTGGTTCACTGGTCTGTCTCGGTGCTTTTGGGGGGCTGACATTAGGGGATAACAATAATCCTTAGTAATGTTACGAAAGATAAAAACTGTAGGGCCTAGTAAGCCTCATTTGCTGTTGCAAAAGGAGAGGTTTCTTTACAGCTCAATATGGTGTGATGGGCACTTGTGAAGAAGTTTTCAGCTTGTGTATCAAGGGTCCCAAGATGCTTTCATTGATCCATGCCACTGTCTCTGTGATTTTCATTACACGGAATCCTCCTGTTCTGATTCAGGATGTCACATCTGGGACTGCCTGTTTTTCAACTAAGTAATAGCTTAAAATCTGCTGAGGAATTCCTGTGGGGTGGTATAATAAGCTGCCTTCTTTATGTACTGATAATTTAATCTTTCTTTTTGTGTCTTTTATAGGGTGGTTAATGTCACTCCGGTACCTGGGGACCTGCTCCGTGAGAACACTGAGGATGTCCTACAGGGTGAACATTTGAGTGATCAAGAGAATGCTCCTCCCATCCTGTCAGGTCGGCCAGTGGAAGGCCTTGGTCAGGCTCCAAACACGGCTTTCAATGAGGGTGAAGTTTGGGAAGAGACAGATGTGAATCGCAACAAACTCAGGATCAGCATCAGCAAAGTAAAGAACATTTCCTTGTCTCCTGTGACTGTTGGATGTAGGGCAATGGTTTCATAGACTGCTAGAAGCCACTCAGATCCACTGATGTAGCATGCCATGTAGTAAGCCCAGAAAGCATTGAAGAATTCTCCTGTGGCAAGGGGAATTACAAGGAATTTTTTCACAGAGTAAAAGCCATTGGGATTAATTTAGATCTTTATGCAAGTGAGATTTTGGGGGCCAGTAATGCTAAAGTGAATCTTTTTTACCATCATATCATTATCTAGGATTTTGATACTTCAAGCAAGAAAATTCTAGTCCTTGTATAGCTGATACAATGTCAGAAATACCCCAGGAATGGAAATTAAAAACCAAGATTTTATTGCATCCCAACCTCTTGGGTAAATAAATGTAATCAGAGATGTCTTCATAAGCTGTATTTTTTCTGTACCTTGATCATCACTCATTTTTTTCTTCCTTTTTTTAACTTTCCTTTTTAAGGGTAGGAAAATCTGTAGGGAGCATCTAACAGTGGTTTCTTCCCTGTGAAGAGTGAGAGAAACCATTCCTTAATATTCTTATATTTCTGCATTCCAAGATCATACTAAGCTTTTTTAGCTTACATAGAATGTATACTTCAATTGATTTTCCTCATAATCTCTAAGGTGTTTCTCAGTTCTTTCTTGTAAATGTTACCTAATTTCTTGGAGGCATCCCCAGTGAAGGCTGATTCCGTGATAAATGTCAAGTACAAGAATCTGACAGTTCGTTAATTTACATATTGCAAATAAATTAGTATTAGTGGCAGGTCATCAGATACATACAGAATCTGTTAGCAGAGAAACATTCATCAGACTTAAAATGTTGTCAGGGCCTATTAGATTCACATCACAAACTTGTTTTTAATGGACATTTGTAGACTGGCATGTTAACTCTGTTAGTCTTCTGGGGCTGACCACAATTCACTTCAGTCTCTACTAGTACAAAGTTAGTCCTTACTTCAGCAATATAGGTATCTCCACTATCCTTAGTCTTATTAGAAAACATTATGCATGGACAAGAAATAATCTAATTTACTTTAAATTCTCCAGTGCAAATAACTCAGATCAATGTGTTTTCTGTATAGAACATATTAGCAGGAGCATTCACCAACACTGAGAAATTATGAATGAAGTTCAAATTACTTCTTCATCTCTCACTGGCAACTCTGCATTCCCAGAAGTTTTCATTTGCAGGTATATGAAATAAGAAAAGCCTGATAGAGAGCAACAGTTCTGTTCACACAACGTATATTAAAAAAAGAATATTACAGAAAAATCCTAGCAACTTTTGTGTGTTTTTCTTTGCATTTCTACTACCAGGTGCCTTGATGCTCTTCAGTCAGACTTTTCACAGGGGAGTCCTTTCTGTGTGCTAGTTGTGGGTCATTCACAAGTCCTGTCATAACAGCAGCTAAAGGCAAGAGAGGTTTCTAGAAGCTCCACAGCACAGCCAGGTGACTCTTGTGCCAGGCACTGTGCTATTTGTTGTCAGGTTGCTGCCAAAGGAGTTTTGGGAGTTTCTCAGCATGGCAGTGAGCACTTCAGCTCTGACAGTTTCTGTAGCTACACAGCAGTCTGTGCAGCAAAGCCCAGGGTAGCAAGCTCTCCAAGGCTGAAGTCCTTTCTTTGAGGGTTGGTATCTTCAGTTTGACTCTTGCCTGTCCTTTTGCTTTGCTAGCCTTACCATATTCAGTCTGACTGTGCTCTGAGAGAGGATTGGTTTTCATTTAAGTAACAGTCACTATGTGGAGAAAAGAAGGATGCTTCCAATTTGATACCTAAGGGCACAGCTCTGCCTCTGCTTGTAATCTGAGGCATCAGAACCACAAGGGCACTGGTGTGTTTAAACACCCTTCTGCTATTCACAGCATCACATCCTTCATCTTCCAGTCCTGTAGCACTAGAATTAACTGGCTCTCCCTGTCTTGCTCTTTGTATTTAGAAGATGAGTGGAGCTTGCCATGTTTTTTCTCCCTAATAACTGTCTAAGATGATCCTTACTTCTCTGTGTAGACAATTCAGATCTCATTCTGTCCCACTTCTCCCATTTCTGTATTAAGGACAGAATTACTGTCACTGTTCTCCCACACCATTCCCCAGTTCTCTGCTCTGTTGGGTAGTTCTCTGCTACCCAACAGTTACATCAGCACTTTGCTCCCTTCACAAACACATTTGACCTTTGTTTGTCGCTAACCTTCTCCTGGCCATGACTGGATTACAGATTAAATCATTATAATCTATTCTGCTTTTCCTCTAATGCTTGAAAGTGCTCCTCCACTCTCCTTAGCTGCAAAAGCTCTTTAGTTATGCATTCCAACTCCAGCTTGGGTGGTTTAGGTCTGCTAATTTATGGGCACTGACTGACTTCCCATGTACACGTTGCATGCACAAACACAACTGTCTGGATCAGCAGCATTTTACTGAGATGCTGTTTATGTTCAGACCTTCTGGCATTAATGGAGGACAAGGGAAAGTAGGGCAGGGAAGGGTAAGCATTCTCCATGCAGATCCCCACACACAGGCAGTGTGTAGCAGCTGATGCTGCATGACTGGCAACACAGCAGTGTTGAATGCAAATCCTGTGCTGCTGCTGTAGCCCTTGGACCATTCTGCCTCTGTGCTTTTTCCCCTCTCTTCCAAGGAAAATCAGCACTGTGGAAGGCAGAGGGCAGCTGTGTTGGTCACCTACTTTTGCTCCTTTGTCTACTGCTAACTTCAAAAAAATCAAATTTAATAAGGCAATATGAAAGAGGAAATATGGAGTGATAGAGTGTCCATTAGTGTGTTCAGCATCGTGCATGACCTTGGCTCTGTGGAAAGCTCTTACAGATGTTGTGGTTGAATGGATATCGTGGAAGACTTCGTTTAAAGGACCAAGATTAAAACAAACAAACAAAAAAAACACTAACAAAAAACCCAAACCACTCTGGTAATTAGGAGATGCCTTAGTCAGACCAGATGTTAAAGTTTGTACATTGCAATGTAATGCATGGCCCCTGCTTAAATGAATGTTGACAAACAAGGCTCTTAGACATCTTGGATAAGCAGTTAGGGTTTGTGCATGCAGTAGGTTAACCCATGAGAACTCCTTTGGATCAACACTCAGGGTGATTGAAATGCATAGGCCACCTTGTGAAGATGTTTAAATATTTTAATTGATCTTAAATCCATACCTTATTTTAATACCAGCTGGTTGCCAGGGCAGAGGCACCCTGCCTCCCTTCAGACATTACTTGTGTAGATTGCGAAAATGCAGCTGAAAGTGTATCCTAGGAGGAAGTCCAGAGCAACAGTGAAGGATGGAAATCAGTGTCTTTGGTCAGATCTTGAAGTTCTTTGTGTTTACCCCCTCCAGACTCAGTGCATGGTGGAAGAGGAGCAGAGAAATGGGGTGTGCCCCAGTTCCCCTGTCCGAGTGCCTCCGGAGTCCCCGACCGCACAAGTGCGCTCCCTCCGCTACCGCCGTGTCAACAGCCCCGAGTCAGAGCGGCTCTCCACAGCTGATGGAAAAGCAGATCCACATGAAAGAAGGTTTGTTCACCCTCTGCAGCCTCCTACTACTTTTAGCATAGTCTTGAGCATTGACTTTTGAGAACAACCTAATCATTAGATCAGCAGCCAGTGCTTGCAACACTATCTACATTGACTTTCGGTTCACCTCCTTCTCTACTTCCCCTTTCTTTGTCAAAAATTTTGATGGAAGGCTTTCCCCAGAAGAGTCTGCAAGGCTTCTGGATGATCCTTGTTGAAAACACATTGCAGTTGTCCTAAAATCTGGGCAGCAGATGCTCTGGCTTTGTGCAAAGCAAGCAGCAGATGCAGGCCAAATGAGAAACATTGATCAGAACATGGTTTGTGGGTTTTTTCCACAAGCCAGTAGAACTTAACAAAGGGGAAAGATGTTGTTGGGGGGAAATGGTTATCATCCTGTCTACAGGGGAAAGAGATGCTGAATTGGCTGTCATACTGAAGCACTTCTTCACACCAAGAAATATTTTTGTTTAAGCCTGTCTTTCTGAAGTGTACCAAGAACTGAGTGAGAAGGGCCTACACAGGCTTTCTCTCGTGGTCCCTGTCGTTAACCACAAACCCGATGTGTTTTGAATGGCTTCTTGTTGTGTCCCTAGGTCCCGAATGGACATCCCTGGCTCTCCATCACGGCTCGTGTGCTCCTCGCAGCCAGCCCAGATGCTGTCCATCGATACTGGCCAGGCTGACCGGCAGGCGAGCGGCAGGATGGACGTGTCCGCATCCGTGGAACACGAAGCCCTCAGCAATGCCTTCCGCTCGGTGCCGCTCGCAGAGGAGGAGGACTTTGACAGCAAGGAGTGGGTTATCATTGATAAGGAGACAGAGCTGAAGGACTTCCACCCCGGTGCTGAGCCAAGCACCTCTGGAACCACGGATGAGGAGCCCGAGGAACTAAGGCCTATTGAAGATGGGGAGGAGAGAAGGCGCCTGGGGGCAGATGCTGCAGTGAGGCCGAAGACTCATGATGGGCGAAGTCGGGGTATGCTGCCTGTGACTGAGGAGGACAGTTCCCATAGACATGAAGGACCTTCTCAAACGGTGTCTGACAGTAGACATGAACAGCAGACAGGAAGTCCAGCCCACTCCCCCTTACATTCAGCACCAGCTCTCCGACAAAGGAGACGAGAATCTGAACCTACTGGTCCTCAGAGACAGGTAAGATCCCTGGGTCTGTACCTTGTTGCCTATCATAGCATCATCTTAGGAAACCTCAGCTGTGCTGGAGAAGTCTTTGATTCCAAGCATGGATGCTCTTGTAAAACTCTTCTGACAGTGCTGGCAAATGTTGTGAACACCTTAGAAGTGCTCCCAAAAGCCAGTGATGTCCTTCTGAGGACACACTGTTATGAAGATCTTTCAGCCATTTTGGTACAGGCACAAGAGGAGAGCACAGTTGTGATTTGGGTATCTCTAGTCACTCCTCTTATGCTCTCCCACAGAGTTTTGTTAGTAACTGCTTAGCTGCATGGAGGTGTTGCTAGCAAATCTTCTCCACGTAGTTTCTCAGCAGCAATAGGAATGTGTTGGAAGAGAATGACCTCTAATCTAATCAAACATCAGCACTGCACAGCCCCATAGCAATGTAAATCATAAAATAACTCCCTAAAAGTAATCCTTCTTCTAAATACCTAAAGAAAAGCTCAGAGTAGCCAGCACATGCATCTCATCAACCTTACCTCAGTGAGAGGCATTGCTATTACCATGTATTCACCCACATAAATGTTTTTTACCTATTGTGTTTTTTCCATATAGTTGTAGAGAGCTTTTTATATTTCAGTTTTGCTTTTTTTTCCTGTGGTCTTCTGATGCTATAAAGCAGTTCAGTTTTTAGTGGGAGGTGATTTATTGGATTAGCTGGAAAAATATGATACACTAGGCACAGAGTTCCTGTCATACCTAATCTTCTTTTTGAAGAAGAAGGCTGTCCCAGAGTGTTCAGTGCAAGAGGCAATCAAATTGTTCCCCTAAGAGCTTCTTGTATTTATATGTTGATGAAGATCTCTCATGCACATGTGATCCATAAGCAAAGCAAAGAGCAGGCAAGCTTTGGGTCATGTACACAGTGATACCCTCCTATGACAGGTATTTGTGCAGTCTGCCTGCTCCTGTCTGGAAGATGATAATTTCATTTCTGCTACCCTCTTGAGCTTATTCTCCAAGGAAGTGTTCACTGGATTGGAGCATGTTAAAAGAACATCCTTCTGTTCAGGTCTTGCCTAGAATATTCTCTTCTCTGGATCCTCAAGACATACAAGAAGAAAACCATGAATGAGACAAGAATCTATGTAAAAGGAATCAAAGCAAATCTTTGCAAATCACCAGGCAAGGTGTTCCCTGTTAAGGTGTATGAGCACTTACAGGAAGGATAGAAATGCTGGCAGTAGGCACGAGGGCTGTCCTGCTGAGCATGGAACAGAAGCATCACATCCTTCTCTTAGAGACTGCATTCCAGTTGCAGGGTTCCTAGGTAGAGGTGTTTGCTCTAGAAAGCCAGTATGTTGAATGTAGAAATTGCATAAGGCAAGATTGGCAGAGTTGGAAGGGTCTGTGTTTGAATTTGCTGTGGTCTGTACACTTTGGGGGCTGGTCAGTGCAAGTTCTGCAAGATGCAATGGTAAGAGCCAGCTGATAAGAATCAACTGTAAACAACACTTCAGCAGGGACACTTCACTGACACATTTAGTGTGGCTAAAGAAGGCTGGAGAGGCCTTCTTGGCCACAGCACATACACCCCTATGTGAAATGACTGGCGGAGTTGGATATGATGCAGCACAAAGACTTCTTATCACTGCACAGGGATATTTAAAGAGCAGGCAAAAAAGGTAAAATAATGGGATTGGGGGTGATTACTGCTAATATATTAGGCAGCCTTTGTTCTCCAGCAAACTGCATTTTTTTTGTTCCTATGTTCTGAAATACCCTCTGTTAGCTCTGTGGCCTAGCTTTGTACACACAGACCAACACTAGACTTCTTTAGCTAACTAGGATTTAGTTGTTCTTTCTTTGATGTCTGAATCCTTCAGTTACCACTACAGCTGTGCAGTGATTTTTCCACTTGCTGTCACAAAACCAGCTATTAACTCTCAAAGGGACTTGGTACCTGAAGGGAAGTAGAAACCTTTTTTTCCTTAGGTGCAACAAATATGGAGGGATGGATGGCTGGGACACTAATAAGAAGTTGACCAAGGACTTAACTAGTGAAAATACTGAAGGCCTCATTAGCAATGACAGATGTTTCCTGTACCTCATGCATGTGCTTTTCTGGGTTTGATTAAAACTGTGATTAAGTGGGGTGGGTGTGTGTGTGTGTGTTGGTGTGTGTGTAGGTGAGTAAATCTTCCTTATCTTTAAATATGAACTGAGACTGTGTGATAGGTCAACATTTCACTAAATGCTGAACTACCATGACTGAAGTCATAGGCTGTGTTGTACCCATCTGTGACCTCATTCTGGTGTCCCAAAAGCTGGTGATCATCCCTTGGTGTCAGTAGCATACTCACTGAAAACAAATGGGGAATCCCTGCTCTAATGCTTCCTTCTGTTTCTCCATTCTCTGGCTCCAGTCTATGAGCCATCACTTGTAACTGGCAGAAAGACAGTGACTTCTGGATTGTCATAGAATCACAGCATGCCTGAGGTTGGAAGGGACCTCTAGAGATCATCTAGTTCTACCCTCTGCTCCAAGATGGATCATCTAGAGCAGGTTGCTAAGGACAGTGTCCAGTCAAAGTATCTCTGAGGATGGAGACTCCACAACCTCTCTGGGCAACCTGTTCCAGTGTACAATCACTGTTACGGTAAAAAACTTTTTAAAATGTTTAAATGAAATTTCCTGTATTTCAGTTCCTTTCTTCTTTTACTTTCACTGGACATCACTAAGAAGAATCTGGATCCATCTTCCCATAAGGTATTTATAAATGTTGTTAAGGATCCCCCTGAGCCTTCTCTTCTCCAGTCTAAACAGTCCCAGTTCTCTCAGCCTCTCCTCAAATGAAAAGTCTTCCAGTCCCTTCATCATTTTTGTGACCCTTCTCTGGACCATCTCCAGCATGTCCACGTGTCTCTTGTACTGGGCAGCTCAGAACTGGAACACAGCACTGCAGGTGTGACTCACCAGTGCTGAGCAGAGGGCAAGGACCATTTCCCTCAGCCTGCTGGCTGCACTCCTGACACATCCTGAGGGGCTCTTGGCCCTTTTTGCCACAAAGGCACCTTACTGGCTTGTGTTCAGCTTAGAGTCCACCAGGACCTCCAGGTACTTTTCTGTCAAACTGCTTCCAAAACAAGTGGCCTGCAGTGTGTTCTGTTCCTCCTCACTTCCCTTTGTTGAACTTAGTGAAATTCCTTTTTCCCGTTTCACCAGCCTATCCAGGAACCTCTGAATGTGAGCACAACCTTCTGGTGTGTCAGCTACTCCTCCCAGTATTATGTTGTCTGTGAATCTGCAGAAGGTACACTCTGTCCCATCATCCAGGTCACTGATTAAGTTGTTAAATAGTAGTGGCTGCATTATCAGCCCCTGGCTACACCATTAATGACTGGACATTTTTTCTCCAAATACAGTATTTTATGACAGGAGCCCACACAATTTTCAGTCTAATTCACTATCTACTTATCTAGCCCATATTTCATTGTTTTGTCTATGAAGATTTTATGGGAGACAGTCTCAGAAACCTTACTAAAGTCAAGATCAACAACCTCCCACCCAGTCCTCTCAGCACAGAAAGCTCTCAGGTTCATCAGACGTGATTTGCCCTTCATACATCCATATTGATTGCACCTTCTTCATATGTTTGGAAATGCCTTCTTCCAGGAGGATTTGCTCCATGTCCTTCCCAGGCTGACCAGCCTTCAGTTCCCTGAGTTATCCTCATTTAGAACTCAGATGTTTCTTCAAATATGTCTGTCTTTTGGAAGACAGATATTGTAGCTCAAATGTGAGAGATGGTGCTGTCCTCGTTAAAATTCTGTGGGTGTAGAGGGAGCACAGAATGATCAGATGCTGCTGTGAGGAAAGTCAAGTACAGAGGAAGCTCTGAATAGCCTGGGGGAGTTTCTGACCCAAATATTCTCACATATTAGGTATCTCCCAGTTTCAGATGACAAGAAAATGGCTGCAGTGGAACACAGATCTCATGGGAAGACTTGGTATAAAGGGAGAACAGAAGCTATGTCCTGTTCAAGCCCTTCTCTGTGCACCACTCAATACATCTGTTTAACAGAGCTCTAAGGGTTTACTTTAACGTATGCATTTCAGGGATGACCTAATAAGACTCAGGGGTTTTTTTAGGCACTAGTGTGCAGATAAAGCTATAGAAATAGATAAAGAATGACTGGAAGAAAAGATTGAAACTGCACTTCTGTTTACCTATTAATCCTGACATAGGGTTGCTGTTACTGCTGGAAATAATTTAAACCCATACCTTGCAATATAATTTAAAAATCTGTCAAGTTCTTAAGTATGCTGAATAAATTCACTGATACTTGACAGGGATGCCAACTTACTGCTGCCTTCTGCAGTGAAAAGACTTACAAGTGTTCATACATGTATGAATTTTAGAAACTATTTCTGACTATGCTCAGGTCTGTGCTCACGTGCTTGACTCTCAGTCTTCCCTGCTGCTAGTGCAGTTGGCATCATACAAAATGTTTGGGGACTCACCTGCCTAAAACATGCCTGTCCAAATGATGTCACATCTAAAAAACCACAAGAGAAGTGAAAAATTAAAGTGGGAAATTATACTTACTCTGCTTTACCTATCCTTGAATATATTCTGCAGGGTTCAGAGAACATTTTGCTTGGGCTGATTCTCACAGTCCTAGAGTTCATCTGTTAGGAAGGGTCCCAGTGTGAAGAGGCACTAGTATATTTCTCCTCACCAACTCAGCTGTGTAGTTAAAATCACTCTTTAAAATCATCTTGATGCTGTCTTTGGCCTCTTTTCTGACACAGCCAGGAGAGTGCCACAAGTGGACTTGCTCAAAATTGTCCGTGTCTCGAGCCTGCAAGGGCAGCAGGGGAAAAGGTGCTGTGTGTCTTGGTTTCCTTTGCCTTCTACAGCATCCTCTGAGGGGACCTGAGGGACCATTTCTCAGTGGTGAGAAATGGGCATTGGCAGAGGGGAAGACTCATTGCTCCTCACCCAGTGTAATTC